GTGGAGCGCAACATTTCCTAAGCAATGGAAAACGGTAAAACGTTGAGGAACGGTAAATGAAAAAGCAACAAAGGGAAAAATACAAAAGCTGGGAAATCTAGAAAACAAAGCAGGGGACAGCTGAAAATACAAAAGAAGTAAGACGTATCGACGAAACTCTTCGGTCGGTCACGAACCACTAAAGATTACACAATTTTCGGTACTATCGTTTCGACGTACTACCCATGGTCCCTTCAACAGAAACTTGGCGATTATTGTACAGTGCTCGAACCCTGATCTCCCTACAAACTATTGCATGAAACGTGATGCCTAGATTGGAAAGAAGTTTGAACACGCACATGCAACGAGAACGGCGAACAAAGAAAAGAACGGCTAGAACGACGACAACGGCGAATCGACTGGAACGGATGTGTACGTACGAAAGATCTAGACTGGTGTCGGCTTCGACGTTCGTTGTATGTACCGAGGGGTATCCATTAGGGACAGAAGTATTCGCGCGCAAGATATATCGACGTCGCCTTGGAGGATTTATCGTGACAGCGGTGCTTGAAGGGATTGTAAATCCCCGTTTGAGGATCGCTGATACCAAGTTTTATGTGGGACATTAGTTGGGTGGGGCGTGGTTGAATGGTGCAGAGTCGAGAATAGCGCTAGAAAGACGAGAGAAGACACGGAGAAAGAAAGAGGGACTAGGTGATAGAATGCAAGGGAGTAAGAAACGGTCTGGGAAGACAGAGAGAATAGGTAAGGGCTAGCTAGACCGGCAACAGAGAGAAAAGGGGGAAGGTAGCTGCTTGAACGCAATAAATTAACCCGAAATGAAAGACAAATCGCCTCGAAACTGTCCGCCCGTTCGCCCAACGTGATAGAAGCGCGCGGTCCTAGCTGATGCCACCTCCTTTTCCACCGTCCACCGTCCACCTTTCAACTTTCGTCTTCCATCTTCCATCTTCCATCTTCCATCTTTCCTCCTCACTTTCTTACCCCCTTTGCCACAAATTCTCAATAGACCAATCCAGAGACTGAAAAAGAAGACTTCTGTTCCTTTTCTATTCATTCGATTTCACATGTGTCACTAACCACCTTGACAGACAGATAACGATCCACGGAAAACCCTATCGTCGAACAATACCCTCGCTGTCGCACTGCCATTTACTTGTTCTTTCTCCTTTTCCATTTGATCTGTCACGAATAGTCTGAATTCTCTATTACCTGGCACATCCAATTAACAAATTTATCCGACGTACCTGCGAGAGTCCCGATATTGTCCCCATGTGATATCCAAAAAGTTTTATGTAACCCGTTTATTTCGAAATTATTTCTACCTAATCATACGTAAGTTGAATCACGTGCGCTTCGAAAATTGAACAACATACATGTACAAATCTATATAGATGTGTGAAAGAAAGGCAGGCCGTCTACTTGTATAATCTAAACGACCACATAACGGATTATCCAAGTAATATAATTTAACTGTAACTCTTAAAATGCGTATCGTAGGTATGTGTACCACGGTACGATAAACGTCATCGTTTACCTATGAGCTACTGTTCGATGTTACTCGAGATGTTACATGTGAATCATATGCACGGTACGTAGTTTCGGTATGTCTATCGTGTATAAACCGCGTGCATGTCACAAGTACAAATTTCCCAAGTAAACGTGACACGTAATTTTCCAAAAAGCTTTCCCTTCCGTTTCGTTACGTCACGCAAGAGTTGACCAGAAAATAATTCATAGAACAATTACGACAGCACCAGCAACAACAACGCTAACAGAACGAACACACTGTTACCGAGTGTCTGTGGCGAAATGAACGTTTTAATTCCCCTCCATAAAAGCCAACGACAAATCAAACGACTTTGACATGATTAACTGGCGGGCATAAATATCGATATCAATGTGCGTGCACGTGCAATGACGCGTCGCGCCATGCCTCTGTTCCTTCCTCTTTCAACCATTATCTATCCATCTATGTACCTATCAGTCGGTCGGCTTGCCTGCGAAACTGACACCTTGCCCATCAGTCTACACGTCGATTCGTTTCGTCTCGGCTCGTTTATAGCTGTACTCCCTTCTATACATCTTTATAGAACTACAGAATAAGAATTTACTTACCGTCGAAGTCTCCCTAATCTCGTTCGGCTATAGTATCCGTCTCGAAGGCGATTTTGAGAGGAAAACCAACTGCAATAATCTCGAGTATATTATTTTGCACTTTAACTCGCTTCTCATAACGTTTATAATCCCAAATATTCGGAATAGAACGATCCAACGAGTTTCGTCATTAATAAAATCAATTTTTTCCAGTTCCAACAATCGCGCTTTTCGTATCGGTGCTAATCAGAAAAGTATTTCTCTTGCGAAAAGATCGTACTTTTCGAATAACGCGGCCAAGCATCACAACTACTCTCTTCCACAATTATAATCATGCTAATGATAACGACTTCGTATCGTTACACGTTTTTACAGTTTTTCTAGAGAATGTACACGTAGCTTGTGCTAATCACACGGCATAAAGATCCGCAAAATTTCAGGAATTCTTGGGAAGTTGAAAAACTTTCCACTTCCTGTACGTAAGAAACTGGGTTGCGGCAACAGGTGGGTACTAAAGTAAATATACGCACATTACATCTACTTCAAAAGGCTCATTAGAAATTTCGATTTTTCTATCGCTAATTGTCGTACGTTACAACCGACTGAAAAACACTGACTCGACATTACTTTACGCAATATTTGACAAAAGCTCGACGTGCTGCTCGGACGTCCAATTACTACATACTTGTACCGCCATTGATTTAAGACAATCAACGAATGTAAATATTAAAGAACTGATAGCGGTAATGAGTCTGATTTGTGAAGCTTTATAAGGTTGTTAATGAGTGCACTCATTATTGGCTATAACAAGCTTCTTTTTTTGGGAATGTCAATAGAATGTTACTTCAGTAGCTGCTTACCTTTTTCCTTTTTCTCTGCCTCCATTTTTATCCCTCCGAACACAGTTATTTTCATTGTGCTTTTGGAAACATGCGCAGACACGTGTGTATACAATATAATATAACAACCACGGAATTTTAGCCGAGTGTTGTTTCTCTTTGTCAAAGTTGAAATACCAATCCAGTACTTTACAATTTTTTAAATGAATATTACTCCTAATTATTATATCCACTTTGAAATTATCACCATGTTCGATTCGGTATTATTAGGTTAGAGGTCAATGACTGAAAATAAACAAAAGTGGCAAATCTATATCTACAAATATCAAAAATCCAATTTCTGTTTTCTACAGCAAGGATTGAAAAACATCGTTTTCCGTCATCTATATATCGAACTCAAAAATTAGTGACCCCTACAGACACGCAACCAGATGTTACCCACTGCAAGTACGACATTCTACTAATTACCACGAGACTTTATAATACTACTTTAATGCAGTATATTGACACAAATATTATATATCCACACTAAGATTGTACGTTTATCTGTTCCATTCATTATCATTAATATTATTATGATTTTAAAGCATCAAGACATCATATTGTCACGTTTTCTAATCAACTCCTGGGTAACGAAACTGTGAACGTAATACAAGATACTTTCGAAAACCTAATAGACTTAGCTTCATTTTGCATAAAAATAATATTTGCAAGAAGGATTTTTGGTGATGCGAAGGTTAAGATGCAAAATTTTTGAACAAACTATTTTACCATTTTAATGTCACTCCCTGTAATTTTCGAAACTATCACGCCTTGATTCGGTTGATGTTCTACCAACAACTTGATTTTTCATAAAGAAAATATCGACGTGAAGGATTTTTGGAAATGCGAAAGTTAAGACACAAAATTTTGCAAAAACGTGTTTTACCAATGTAGTGTCAGTTCCTACGTTACCGTTACAGCATAGGGCAAGCACCGCTTCGCAATGCGCGCTGGAACAGTTATTTTTTAAAACGCCTGAGAACATTTCACTGGGAGTCGCAGGTGAGAGAATAAGGCGCTTGAAATTAGTACATCGTCAAACATTTCTCGCATGACATTTAACTTTCAATACTAATGACTCGTTATAAACTGGTGACTGGTACCGGCCAGTCGGAGACCTTGGACCATAGGCTTAAGTCACTCTTTGTTCCTACAGTGCGAGATAAAAATATAGCACCCTCTGAGATGATGATTTAAATATCGAACAATATTTTCAACATTATATACTGACGATACTTCAAATTTATGTCCGGTATAGATCCGTAAATTTAAAAAAATATAGATATATCATATACTAGTCTGATTTTTTTCTATGTTGTGCCGACAACGTAGGGAGTGACAATAGAATGGTACAACACTTTTAGCAAAATTTTGTATCTTAACTTTAGAATTTTCGACGATTATTCTTACCAATATTTTGCCTATGAATAATAAAGCTGGTGGTAGAATATTAACTCAATTAGTAGCATGAAAATTTCAAAAATTACAGGGGGTAGTTCAAACTTAACATCGTTAATCGTACATTAATTGTTAAAATTCTATGTATGCTCTAGCGTGACGAAACCTTATCATTAATCTATTTTATGTTTTTTCAAGGAAAAGGTACGGTAGTTAACGGTGTAGAACACTTATCACCATCTAACAATGAACAACTACAACTAACCAATGAGCCACACAGCTTATGAAGATCCCTACATCGGTAACATCGAGCGTGACACCAAAATGGTACGGGGGTTGTAGACTATCAAGAGCGTGTGACGAAATTTTACATTGTTTGCACATACGCGTATCCTATATCTCGCCTATGTACGAGTTAACGGACTCTGCGAAGCAATGTTTGAAGTTCAAAGCTTCGTGGGGTTCCAAGGGAATGTAAGAAGGAATTTGATTGGTGCAAAGCTTTTAGAAAGCAGCCATAATGTCACATGGTTGAAAGCTTAAACCAATTGTCTGTTTACTTTACTGTAATACATCATGCAAAACAGTGTAGACCAATCACTTTGCTGTTCTAACGGAATTGACGTTGACATCGTTCTACTTCCCGGATCGTTTACTCACTGTTCATAACTTATCAGTGCCACTTGAAGCATCATCTGCGTGACGTATAAGTCCTGTGACTTGTTTCCTCTTGCACAAAACAGTGCAATTTTGACCGAAAATCTTCCATATCGCAAAACAACTGTCGTTATTTAGTCGTTGCGTGTAGAAGGTATAATACCGAACTTTATTTGTAGGTTCATACGTTTATCCAAAATATCTGTGTTAAATGTCCAGCAGATTCATCACATTGGTATGCAGGCGATCGTTGAATGAACTTCTTGTCATATGCATTACCGCTCCATATTTCGTTTATTTTGTATCTTATCTATGTATGCATGTACTTATCTTTACCCTCATTACAATGCTTTTGTTACATGTCATAATGAATAAACATCCTGCTCTCCTATTTTTTTTTATTATTTCTCACCTACTAAATTTATGTGGCTTATCTACTAAGCATATCAGTCTTTTATATATCTATTTGCATACTTTCAGAAAAGGTATACAATATGTCTCTTTATCCCACGCTTGAGGATATGAAGGTGGATCAAATGATGAAGGTAGATTATGGGATAATGAGCATTTAAGTTTTAAATTGTCATTAACCATGTCTGTGCTCAATTAATTCGTAAGTATTGTACTTTCAGGCTCAACAGCAAGTGGAGTCACAATATAATGTTCCACCTATGCCACAAATACACAATGTTCCATCAGCACCCCCTTACACTTCTTCTGCACTATTATACCCTTCACCGGCAGAATACATGGGACTGGAACTTGGAGAAGAAGTAATAGAGGAAAATATGCCCGAATATTCTCTGGTTAGCCGTACAAGTGTAAGTAACAAACATTATTTTGTAAGAATAAAAATAAATTAAACATTAATGAAACATTCCAGACAGCACTTAGTATAACTGCAACCTCAGGGCCTTTAGCAGGTATGGTTGCTCCATTATCTGGCCAATCAGAAGGATTACAGAGAGCAAATGTAACAAATGGCATACGGGAGGTAGTTAATTTCTATATTTAAATATATACATATATGCATTAGAAGTATTTATAGGGTTCATTAAAGTATAATATTATGCTGCTATTATAGTTAATACTATGCAAAGATAAAGATGGTAAAGTTGGTTTGAGAGTACGTGCCGTCAACAAGGGTATTTTCGTATGTGTCGTAAGTCCGAATTCTCCAGCTGCGCTTGGTGGCTTACGATTCGGAGATCAAATTTTAAGCATAAACGATGTTTCTGTCGCCGGATTTACCATGGATCAAGTTCACAAAATGTTGCGAGATGCCAACGTTAACGGCATCCGAGTGGTAGTACGCGATAGGTTGGTTATTTTACTATTGTTTCCTTTTTAAATTAAATAGGAGTTATTTACATTTAAAATTACGTTCGTTATAGACCATTCGAACGGACAATAACTATGCATAAAGACAGTACAGGTCATATAGGATTCCAATTCAAAAATGGTCGAGTAACTGCCTTAGTCGAAAATTCTTCAGCTGCGCGAAATGGACTCATAACGGATCAACAAATATTAGAAGTTAATGGAAAGGTATACTACGAATTTATTAATTGATTTTACTTTTATGGAATGTAACGGACAGAATTTAAACAATTCCAAATTTGCGTGAATCGTTTTAGAATGTTGTTGGTATGAAAGACAAAGAAATCACGGCGGAGATTAAAAATGGCGGAAATATTATCACCTTGACGATTATTCCATCGTATATTTACGATCATATGATTAAAAAGTAAGTTATTTCGTGACGGTATAATTAATTATATAAATTATAATATATACTAATTAAAATTTATTTATTTCAGGATGAATATTATTGCTGCTATGAATAACAAGTAAGTATATTCAGAGTAAATAATTAAGCGGTTTTCGACTTATGTCTCGCATTTTAATATTCTGATCTCTTAGAGTTGATATTTTACATCTTTTTTAAAACAACAAACACTATACAGTAGTGATAAGTATTGTTTAGTGTTCGTATCCGTAGTATTAACCCAAAGTTGATCAAATATCATTCGAATGAGTACAAACAATTTTTTAAAAACAAAAAAATATTAAACTCTTCAAACTCTTATATTTTATCATAGATTTATATGCATTTATTTCTGGACATGCACAAATATTCATACTCAATACTTGTCAAGTAAATAGACTGCAATAAAATTATTTATTACCACGGTTAAATATTTCCAATGTATGAATAACTTTACTGTCGTGTTGTTATTACCAAATAGTTCATAAATTGACATTTTCTTTAGAATCATGTGCCCAAATAATATTAGTTATACAATTTAAAAGTCTCTACCATGTTAATGCTTTTATATACAATTTTATCTTGTACATATTTGCCAAATTTGTTTACCAATGTTATTAGGATTTCTACATTGTGACATGTAATGAATGTACTAGACAAAGTGTACTAATAGTAAATTTTATATTCTTCTCGATAATGTGCCGTGCCAATATTATGAATTGTAAGTTATGTAGTTAACTGATTAAGGTTGAAATAAAATGTTGTATACAAATGAATGTTGGAAAGAATGGAATTCATACCTTCAATTTTTTATGTTCCTGTTTTCATTATTTCGTCGAAGAATGGCGATTGACTGTGGACCAAGTTACATATTTACTTAAGTCCATTCCGCCATTGATGCCACTATGACCGGAAGTGGGAATGCAAATATTTCCGATCACGCATGCGCAGTTATTCAGTAAATATGGCAGTTTTGTTTTAGTTTTCATTTGGGTCGCTCGTGCGGTGTATGAATTATCGAAGTGACATGTAATATTAAATACTAGTATCATGTATACAAAGTTTAATTATTGGATTCAAGAATTATTGTGCATGAATTACGTTGGGGTAAGAAGAATTATTGTCTTTTATGGAAACCCAAGTACTTTAATGTACCATTAGGTAGTGAGTGACATAAATGCGCTCTGCGATTAGTGTTATTTTGTCGAGTCCGGTACCCGACAATAAAATGTCTCACCCTGATTATGAGCAAACTGCTCATGACCATGCAGCGTTACTCTTACTATTGAGACCTATCGGTACGCAAATCAAGCAGAAAACTGTTACTAGGTTATGTGAAAGGATCATTAAAGCAGGTAGTAGATTCACCGTAGTCGATTCTACCGGTGGTACACGAGAAATCCTCGCTAGATTTGTTAAGGAACATCCTGTTGAAAATAACGATTGGGGAGATTTTCAAACTCACAGGAAGTTATTGGGATTGATTACATTTGGAAAATATGACAATCAAGCAGAATTAAATGAACTGTGTAGAGTTCATGAAAGCTTAAAAATAAAGTACAATACAACTTTATATGATTCTCGTGCCATTTTATTTGGGCAATCTGAGTCAAATAATCGACATGAGCCACCAGTACCATTTACTGTACCATCGAATTTTAAAACATGCGCTGTGTTTTATAGCGATGAGACATGTCCTGATCTTGAGGTTTACATTATGGAGTGCCTAAATTCTTTATTCTGGATTTTGGAATCCAAAAGATTAGAGAGATCCAGAGAAAAGATAGATAGAGTTTCTCTTTTATTGGCACCTTTTGAGAAGAAGGATTTCATAGGATTAGATCTTGAGTCCAGAAACAATAGGAAAAGATGTGTTGGTCGTATGACAAAACATTTAGGAGATCTGTGTCTACAAGCTGGACTTCCAGCAGATGCTTTAAGTAATTATAACTCTGCAGCCAGTGTATTACAAGCTGTTAATGATTGGTTGTGGCTGGGAGCTGCATTTGAAGGTTTATGTGCTGCATCTGCTCTAGTATTATATCCAAATATGTGCAGAAGTCTTCCACTACAAAGAAATTCTTCCCTTCAAGAAGGAAGTCCAGGTAAGCAAAGGTATGTAAAGAGTATAGGATTTAATGTATAGCAATCATTATTATTTTAAAAAAATCGTTAATAGATCATTTTGTATAGACGGGGTTCACAAGCTGTTGCTACTTTACCATCACCACCTGCTGTAGAGATGGTAAAGAGCAATATGCAACATATTTTACTACCTGAAGAAATATCTAAAAAATATCGTGAAGCAATAGTTCATTATAGCAAATATCAATATGCTGGAATAATTGAAACAGAAGCTAGTTTTAAAGCTACAAGAATTTCAATAGAGCAAAACTGTACTTTGCAGGCTGCCTCCTATTTAAATAATGTTGTACTTATCCACTTACAATTAAGCGAGCAAGAAAAAGTATGTAATACAAATAGAAAACATTTACTAGTACTACTACACAACTAAATGTGTGCAATATTACAGATTGATCGGTTTACTACATTGTCAGATTTATATACTAGTCTTGGTTTTGTGAGAAAAGCATCTTTTTGCTTGAGATTTGCTGCAACGAGACATGTGTCTAAAAATAATCCGAATCCCGATTGGCAACAATGTTATAATTTAATGTTGCAAGCTACATCTGGGTTTAAACTATCCTTAGATCCTGTTGATATGTCCCCCGGTAATAATTGTGGCAGTAACATTTTTTCTAACGACATTATAATAAGTAATTTTTAAGGGAAGTTTTATTTATGTAGATACTCATAAGGGTTGGCCAGATATTCAAATTCAAGTGATAAATGAACTTGTTGCTGCCGCTAACCGTATGGGTAATCCAGCGCTAGCAACGAGACACGTGACGTTTTTACTTCAAACAATGTACAATTATTTATCCCCCAACGAGCGTAAAGAAACTGCTCTGCAGCTTCAAAACGTTTCTCAGCAATGTGAAGGTGCACCTGTACCTCTCGTAAGTGTTCTAGAAATTAGTATTATGCACGGCTTAGAAAGAATTAAGTTCTCTCGATAGGTTCTAGATACTGGAACAGTTATACCGCCCGCGAATTTAACGAATATTCCAAAAACTAAATCGTTCGTCTTGAAAAATATGCAACCGCATCTTCAACCACAAAAGATTGAAAGAATTAAAGAGGACCATGGCCCATTTTTGTTCACGCCAATTAATTTCGGTTCATTGGAAAGAAAAAATACATCCAAAAGCAAAGTTGGTATGTTCGCATTTCGATTATCAAACGATTCTCGCGGAATCAGAGATCGTAATGCCCGATTCTAAAAACTATGAATGGTTGCAGATTATTTGTGGGTAGAGGGCGATATTTGTGAAGTGTCGATGCAACTTATTAATCCACTTCCCTTCGAACTACACGTTTCTAATATGAGACTTCTCACGAATGGAGTCGTATTCGAATCAATTCCAGAAAGTATTACGCTTCCTGCCGAATCAGGACCAATTGCGGTGACATTAGCAGGCAGGCCCAAAGAAATCGGTGACCTAGAAATACTCGGTTTTAGTACGCACACGTTAGGGGTGAAATCCAATTGTAGATTACGATACATGGAGGGAATGGTACATCCTCAATATACCGTTGAGGTTGTTCCAGCTTTACCTAGGATAGAGGTGGCTACAAGTTTACCTCAAACCGCAAGTTTCAGTTCTGGAGACAATATAGTAACTAGTGCGAGTATATCGTTATACGGCGGTGAAAGGTATACTATAATATTCATAAAAATTTTACTAACAGCAATATAGGTACTTGCCGAATGGACCACTGTACGTATGTTTCTCCGCTATAGTGCCGAATGTATCGTCACTATTACAAATAATGGACAGGTTCCTATCGAAACTATCGAATTATCAGTGCAATCCACGCTGGACGCAACTACGGAAAAGAAAATATTCAAATGGGACGATGACAATTTAATGAAACAATTACCTTTGCAGCCTGGGGATAGCGCGACTCTTACTTTGTACTTGTACGCAGCTACGGAATTCATAGCACCTGCATCGCGGAATGGTAGTGTAATTGATGAATTACAAATAGATTTTAAACAAATGATACTTTTAATGACAAATGACAGATGTATGTGTGTATATCCTTTAGATATTACTAGCAGTACATATCTCAGTCAACCGAGCAGTTTAATGTCTCATTCCGGACATAGCTCTTTACCATCTAGATTAAGTTCTCCGTCGCATACGAAAAGACAATCAGAGTTAACTTCCTCGTTCAGATCAGGATTCAGTTCTCATTCTGGTCATTCCTCTTTGGCAAGTTCTCGTTTATCGAAACTCGCTGTGCCGTTACACGCTTCGAACGTTATCGAGGGTCAGTTGAAAATAAAGTATTCCGGCGGCGCCGGTCTAACAGCTGGTTATTGTCGCACTTCATCAGTCTTTGTAACCATAGAAATGTTACCTAGCGTGCAAATTACAAATTGGGACGTGCTTCCAGCAGAAACGTAAGTGATAACGTCGAAGTAACGTTTCAAGCACGCGGAGGTTTATAAAATATGTTTTCAGGCCGTCGCAATTTTACCTCGTATTAGACTTAATAAATATGACCAACCACGAAATGGAATTATACTACACGCAAACGAAATGTATATATATGGAGGGCAAAGAGCCGTGTAGAATTCCCGTGCCAGTTGATCGTTGTCCATTAAATAAATTGTCCATGGTAATAAATATTTTTTCTGCGTTTGGTAGTTTAAGTTTATATGGTTCTATGTTTTTATTTTATAATCACAGTTAAACGGGGCCGGAGATGTTGGAGAATTACAAAAAGTGTGTTCCGAACATATTGCCTCGTTGGTCGACTTACGGTGGCAACTGTTGGGTACAGAATCGGTCGGAAAGGCGTCCCTATCTGGGATTACACTTACTCAAGACATGTTAGATCTCGTTAGGATGAGTCCTTTACAGTGGGGTATGTCTTTGAATACTGGTTTGTTATTAAATTAGATTAACGCTTACAACGCATGACTTTTAGAAATAAAAATAAATGATGCAGTCGTAAAAGCACAGGATGAACTCACGTGTAGTTTGGGTGAATGCGTTAATGTCGGCATAGGGATATGCAATGCTCTAGAGCACCCTCTGAGCGACCTTATATTATCTATAAACTTTTATCAAGATCATCATAACGGGGTGAATAATTATCAGCTAGAGACGAGGCTATCCATCGCTGGCGCGAACAAAGTTATGCTTCCAGCTGTGAGTTACTTTCTCCATTGAATATGTATTATGGTAAATGTTCTATTTTTTTGTAATATACGAGTTGTTTTTTAGTTGCAGGAATATGGAAGAGTTTATCATGAATGTCGCGTAGTGTTCTTTACAGCCGGACAGTACAAAATAGATATTCAATGCAGTAGTATAGATTCAGCTCCAAATACACCGATACTTTGTTCCGAGTTAATAAATGCCGGACATACGTGGCGTTACATACCGTCAATAGAAATAACTGTTGACGATTGTTAGCATGCGTACGGTAAGCAATCGCGGCGATTTGTAATATTTGTAAAAAAGCGAAAAATAAATGTACCTATGCCTTGTTGTAATCAAGTGTCTAGATTTTGTTATGATAATCGTATACGTAAAAATTTAACAACTTTTAACTTTAATTTTTTAAACAGATTACGAAAGAAGTTTCTCTTTTTCGATATATATCTACGTCATGTAAATAAATATATTTATATATGTCTAAAATATAATGCTCTACATAATTCTTTTATAGCAACACTTTTAAGTTCTAATTGTATACTGTTTTTTGTGCATCAGTGTGTTATCGGTTTCTTGGTTTCTTCCCTAGGGGAATCATTTCTATCTCTTGTAAATTTCTTCTAAATTTCTTGTAGAATATAAGTACATCCGAATGGGCCCATACCTGTTGACTATTAAAGTCTAAAACTCTCAAGGATTGTAAACTTTGTGCCCTAGACAATGCTACGTATGATTGACCAGCATCAAAAACTCTCGCTAGACACATTTCAACGCAATCTAAAGTCAATCCTTGACTTTTATGAATAGAAAAGGCCCAGGCTAATTTCAGAGGGACTTGTTTTCTCTGAACAATGAGACCTGTGTTTGTTCTTACATTCCATTTCTCTAACTTCGCATGATATTGAACACCTGACTTAAATTGAACTACCGGTACATTGTCTATAAACTTAATTACTACACCTCTTGCTCCATTTACTAGACCATCAGATACATTTATATTTTTCAACAGCATTACCTGAGCACCTACTTTTAATACAAGTTTGCCGGGAACAGTTAATTGTTGATTTAATACAGATGTCATAGAGTCATCAGAGTCCTGAGCTACATACGTTTTGGATTCACTCTTTAATTCATTTAATTGAAATTCATTAATTTCTTCAGCTTCTTTCACATGAGAACAGAGTCTTGTTGCTAAAATTCCATCGTTCTCTATTTTTTGTTTGGCTGTTGCTTTAAGAGTTTCTGCAATGTTATCTGTAACTCTACCTATTCTTATATTGTTTAAGATTTTGATAAACTCTGGATCCTTTTGCCTATGAACTGTTTGTAATTCAAAATTAAAGTGTACACATTTTTCCCATCCACTGCTTTGAAAACAAAATTTTGCTTTCTTATCTCTGCTAGCTACAGGAGGTAATTGAAAAAAATCTCCACACAAGATTAACTGTATTCCACCAAATGGTCTTTCATTTCTACGAATATGTCTAGCAACAGCTTCAATCTTATCAAAATAATCGGCATCCACCATGGAAATTTCGTCGATAATCAAATGTTTTGTTTTCCTCCATAAAGTTAGGCAATTTCGAGAAGCCATTTGAAAGCATCTCTCTAAATTTGCAGTTCCCAGTCCAATTCCAGCAAACTGGTGTAAAGTAATTCCTCCTATATGACAAGCAGCCACTCCTGTACTTGCCGTTGCCATTGTAACATCGGGAGGTAACGCCGCAATAATCTTCTTCAACAAAAACGATTTTCCGGTTCCCGCACTGCCAGTAAAAAACAGATTCTTCCCACTAAGTACGGCGTCTAAAATTCTGGTTTGTTCCTCCGTAATTTGTCCGGTAGTTGGATTTTCGTAAAGTTTCTTTGAAGTAACGGATTTCAGTACATTTTCATCTACACGTTTTCTTTTTTTCACGGTGCCAGGGGACGGTGTGGTGATCGTTGCTCGGGACACACTGATGGCCTTTTCTTTGGCCTTATTTATTTCGGTACTAGTCGCAGGACTGATTTCCTGAAGCCCTCCCAGTGATTTATTCGAAAGTAATTTCTCTTTCAACAGATTTTTCGCCGGTTGATCGGAATGATTCGTGATCTTAATGTATAACGTTTTCAAAAAGTTGATTAGTTGCGCCGGTGGCGCATTCGATAAAAATAAGGTACAGTTATCTTCTTTAAATTTAATAGAAGCTTTCCCTTGGGACATGAATTTGTTAAAAACAGATATAGATTTTAACGGGAGTTTCGTCAATCCGTTCCCCTTCTCTGCCCGTACTTCAACAAACATTTCGCGGAAATTATTTCGGATCAAGCGTAAACTTGCCGATCGGTGATTGACTTTCTTTTGTATCGAGCCTTGCGCGTTGGTCCATTCTATTATAATAGAACATGTCACGAAATTATTATCTTGATCCATATTTACATACCAAAATGTTTAAACGATGATAATGGATTATCTTGAGAAGTTCTTCAGTTCATTAGACCGATAAATCACAAGGTCTTCTTCAAAGGGCACGACCAACCATCATCTACGCCACGCTATAACTGACTATTTCGGCGGGAGATTTACTGCCCTAACATGTTAGGGAAAGTTTTTTGTTCCTGGAGGAGAACAGGTTTACCACCACGCGATTGATCATTTCGTTCTTTGAATATTTCCCTATGAATAAGTCCCTAGAATTATGGACGACGAAGTACCGTAAATACCGATCCTATTATCTATTGCTGTAAACTGAAATGTTAAGGTGTTGCGCCATTGATCATTGTCACACGAAATTGTTACTACCATTGTACGAAATTAAAGTACAGCGAGTAAAGATTAAAATTTTCACCGTTTATATTGAAATTGTATAATATTCTTTTTGGAAAACTCATCGTTTGTGTGAAGATATACGTATACACGTACAATATAGTATCGATACATCGTACTAATACTTAACATAGAAAAATTAGCGTGGGTCCTCTATTTGTAGGCTAATTCGTTGAAAAAATACTGCACTTTGTGATATGAAAATCCACTGGAACAAGACGCGGTTTATTTTTCCTTTTGTCGACATTATATTGTATAATATCGCCTCTTAATGCATATTATGTTGACTCGTATCGCTCGTGCGATCGTAGCCATTGTTAGACTAAAGTATAAGCTAGAAGATATCGTGGCGAATTCTTTCTGTCCGAAAGAAATCATTCGTGTCCAGAAAAATATGGAATGCGTATATTTGCAAAAAGTACAGGCACTCAAATCAGCTACACTGGTATTTTTCTTTCTTCTTCTTTTTTTCATCATTTTTTTCCCTTCTTCCTCTCTATCTTTCTTTTTTTTGGTCTTTTCTTTCCTTTTCTTTTCTTCTCTTTTGATATTCAGCCTGTGTCTTCGAGCTTATACTTTGGATCTCTTTTGCGAAGCATAAGTATATGTAGTATGTATGTAGTACGTACTTTAAAGAGAAGTGTTTGGCAACGGACGCATTTAATGACATAGTGATAATTGACTATCGGATTGCGTTTTGCGTGTCTGTGGAACAGAAAATAATTAGGACACGGCTGCCGCATTCTGTATTTCAGTTTCGTGTTGTTTCACTTTACTTTCACTTGCATTCTAATTCGTAAAAGTTCGCTTAACAAACGAAATCACGCACTGTCTCGTGATATTATTAAAAAAAAAGCTCGATTCAAAATGTAAGAAGTACAACGTATAAAATTAATGTTAACTCGAAGGTGATATATCGGCATTATAAAGTCTGTTATAACGTGATTAATCAAGAAAAGTCTAGTTACGTTAAAATGGTCGAGATTGCAGTTGAAGCTATTGCATGTAGAACGTAAACGAAAATCCTGTATAGTATTTTTACATACTTACTAATATTTGAAAATGAACGAATAGAAAGCTAAAGGGTTCTAGAACAGCATGGAATACCAAGAAACATTCACCTTAGCCTTTGTACACGGAGATGTTGAATTATCTACTGCTACGAATGGAAAACATTGATTTTTCGAATGTTTACGGCATTCGGCTGAATATTAAGAAATCTTTGTATTCAATGAAGTATTCGAGATAACAGAGAACGCCTATATTATCTTGCGTATTGCACGTACCCATATAACAAATATATCTTTACAATTTCATTACGTATTTCAAGAAGCTCCGCCATTAATCTTCCTCGAAACGAAAAGTATTCTTTTAGATGTATTAAACGCGATTGCAAAGTATTTTCTAATATTCAACCTACGAAGTACCACATTCACCATTGCTACTTGTGGATGGATTACATGTATTGGGCCTTTGTGGGCATAAAAATTCTACACAGACAAGAAATCCCCATCGTACTTCACCATTTCTTCCTCTCATGATATATACCTATCGAAACTAATAACTATGTTCACGGATTTAGTCACGATGGAGGCTTCATTGATTTATAATTTTGTAACATGGACGTAAAAATTCGGCCAATTTTAACCACTATATTTTCGAACACGACAACGATTGTATGCTTCGCGTAACAGACACGTTTTCCCTCTCGAAAATAAAGACAAACAACGACGCAGTCCCCGTTGGATAGTTTCCGTAGATTCTACTTGAAATTGTCCGCGATTATTATTGAAATTCCATTAAGAGTCGTCATTTTATAAAAATTTAAATTTCCGCAGAATTGAACCATACTTTAATCATACACATTCGACACAATCACACACCGATCTTCATATCAGTATTCAAGATGTTTTAAACGTTATTCCAAGCTTTCGGATACTCTACCATATTTGCTATTCGTACTGAGTTTGCTGTTGATGGCAGTAAAGCGCAAATCAGACGAGTTCATTAATGATTGGTACGTGTCCATTTAAATGATATTACCTACCTTCGGTTCTCGTGTCGTACGGATCTAACGACCGAAATTCTTAAAGAACTCGGATGTATCTTCATTTATTAGAAACACGGCAAGTATACGTACATCACTGATTGAAATTTATAGGACGCATTTAGAGACGATGAACTCTTCGTTCCACTCGATTGATTTGCGCTTGGAGTAATTGGTTCAATATGAACTCTGAATCCGCATGTATTTATTTCCGAACCTATCCTACATCTGAACGTACGATTCAGATTTATAGTACTTAAACTTACATTGATTAATGTTCAAGTAACAAAGTAGACGACGAAGCAAGTGACTTAAATCAATTTCGAATTCGGATCCTCATAAATGTTCGATATATGTATAGTTAACCATGCATTTTGGTATGTTTTCTGTCAAAGATTATATATTTGATCGACGATATGCTATCGAGACGCCATTGAATGTACATAGAAACGAAAGGTTAATTGAAATAATATCTAGTGACATTTCTAATTCTAAGACTGGCAGGATCGATAATAGTTTAAAGAAGGTCTATCACAAACAATACACAGATTCAGTCTTTAACATGAAATGCGATTAAACGAACAACGAAAAACCCTATAAAGTGACCTCTAACTAGAAACGTTAAAGTAACGGTTGGCACTAGAAAACTGTGTTCGTCAGTTATGAACAAAGAATACCTATCCTTTGTTACATGAATGTGAAGAGGAACAACAAAAGAGGAATTACAACTGAAGAATAATTTACGATCTTAGAAGATGTGCGGCGCTAATTGTAACTTCCATAAAGAAACAGGCCGAGCAAATACCGTAACCTGACCTTTCTCCTTCCCTCCAACTAAAAACACATAGAGCGGCGCTGGTCCATAAGATGGCGTTTCCGTATCATTAATGTCCGCCGCGGCAACTTTTGCCCGTTGTCTTTCCGCCCTGGAAGCACTGACTGCTCTTCTAGAGGGAGATCCCAACGGCAGACTTTTCGGTGGTGCTCTCGGCACCCTTTTTAATTCTTGAAGCTCTAATAATTCCGCGAATGTCTGCGAGGAGGATCTTCCCGCCTCGTCTTCTAAAACACTATCCGGTGGGCTATTCAACAATTTCGCGTATTTCCCATCTTGCGATTGTTGCTGTTGCTGATGCTGGCCTCTGCTCTCGTCCAGTCCAAGATAATTCGGATTACAAAAACCGAATTGGCCTTCGCGTATCGTCGACGTAGTCACTATTGGGCGGTATTGTTTGCATTTCCTGCCCGATGGCCAATCGTCATCGGCAAGAGGGTCGCCAGGACTTCTGGCTTCTATGCTCGCATAATCCGACGTCGATTCTTCGCCTTCCTCTAAATCGGCGAACCGAACGGACGCGGACGTAGGTATTTTCGAGGTGGTCGGAGTTTTCGGAGTTTGAAGGGCTGCCTCGTAGAGATGCGAACTGTAGCTGTCGCCGCGTGTCGGCTGGCAAGCTTGATGCACGGCTGCGAAGTCTCTGAAACCGTGGAGAATTCAACGTAGAATTTTCATGTGTCTTCCGCCACGATCAATGATATAGTACAATCGATTGCGCCCTGACCGGTACTTACCGTCTTTCTTCTTGAACTTCTATCAGTCTGGAGGTAGGGGGTTCCTTGCGTTCTTCGTTGTCGCTGTTCTCATCTGGATCAATGAAAACCAGCCTGGCTGCTTCTACAGGTGTCAGGACTGGAGTGGGTAGGGTGAGTGCTCGGAAATTCGGCACCGAAATAGGGTCCCTGGTCATTCCAGAACTAGTAGCGATGTTATTATTGCCGATGTGGTTAGTGTCGGTGGTCTTCGACGCGGGTTCCGGTTGCTTCTGTCTTCGGCGCGCCAACGTGTTCGCACTTCGAGACTTCACCATTCCCGTGGACGGTTCGACCACTTCGGCGTCTACTTGCTGAAATGGATAATACGAGTTCGCCTGCGGGCAGGCTCAAATTGTCACATGCGCTTTCATTGCAAACGTGAAACTCGATGCGTGCGTGGACAAAAGACAATAAGCGGCAATCAAAGTGTAGAGAATTCAGCTCGTGTTATCGTCGTCGAAATTCTAATTACACTTACCTCCTGTGGACTCTCCTCGTTATCGTCTTGACCGCTTAACACGGAGTAACTGCATTTTGTCGGGTGACTTAACCGCGATAAGTTGATCTGCGACAGTTTCGAGATCTCTTTCAGAAAACTGGGTCTAGCCGGTGCTTCGTTCGGTGATATTCTACTGTTGTAAAGCCTCGTCCTCTGATTGCGCAGCTTGAGTTTCGGATTGTCGATGTTGGTCCCTCGTATCAGCAGCTCCGACACCGCCAAAGCAACGCTCTCCGCTCTTGGTTGAGGCTTGGGACCCTGCACCGATAATTTCTCCCACGTTTCCGTGCCTAAGGAAAAATTTAGGTGTCGTCTGGTCTCGTCGTGGCAATAGCGTAGAGGCTTCATTGATTTCTAAATCGATTACCGAAATGAAACCTCCAAAGTTCGTTCGTAGCTAGACCGCCGCTTTCTCCGCCGAATATTAGCATACAGCTGGGAAGTCTGCATGCAGCGTGGCCGTGAAGAGGGCCTGGCCCCGGTTTATTTTTCAATAGAAACCAAGAAGCGGTGTTGACGTCCCATCTCCAACAGTCGCTTCTTTCTTGAAGATCGGTCATACCTCCGTAAACGTACATCACGTCTCCGTGTAAAACAGCAGAATGCTTGTGTCTCGCTGCTGGTCCGCCTTCGCCGGACGAAAGTAGGTGCCACGATTCCGTTTCTATTGCATATAGTTTTTTGTTACATTATGTATATCAAACTACCAACGAGCATTACGATTTGTCGTATTACCGAAGTGGAACGCCCAGAGTTCTGGGGAACTTCCTCGGAGATCTTGGTAACCTCCGTAGATGAGCATTTGCCCGCGATGAACTAGAGCCGTGTGGCCTCTTCGACCCCTAGGAACTGCGCATCCTCTCTGCGCCCTCACCTTCCTCCACATATTTGTCTAATAAAAGTAACATGTTATGATTGAATATTATACATTCAAGAGGAATATTAATATTATAGCTTGCTTTGTTTGTAAAAGTAATCGCGGAGGTCTTTGTTAATTTATCAATATTTACGACGTAGACGACAATAGCCTTAGAAAGTCGCTAATTTCGCCTGGACGGAAGACTTCTGAATGCCGAAATATCTCTAGGGTTGCTCGCAACAAAAGGTAGGAGAGCTCCAATTTGTCACTCCCTTCTTATTACTCTTTGAATAGCCTCGAGTTTAATACGGGAGGCGACCTAACGATACTCGTGGCCTTTTTCAACGCCGAAACAGTAGCGACCAGCGAAGCTTATTTAACAGTTGCGTAATGTTTGTAGAAAACGGTAATATACCGCGGTGTGTTAGTGCGCCGTTCTATTTCAATCTGTACACCTTGAAGAACTTCATGTGACAATATATAGGGCACAAGTAACGCGTGAGTCACTTTAAAATGTATATAGATGCTTTTATGTACACTGCACGTTTAATTTTATCAACGCAATCGATAGATGCGGTTGTTCGATCTCAGATAGCTTCACCGTTCGTTTAGAAGAAATGCGGTGAAACTGGAATTAATAACGACAGTCGTTTTAATGAGTACCGGCAATCATTGCCTTGGCATAGGGTCCGCGATGGTACGCATAAAGGAAAGAAGATGGAAGGAAGGAAGGAAGGAAGCGAGGTATATAGGCTGTACAGCAGGGGTGCTGAAAGTAATTACGTAACTTGAAGTACGTGCCTAAAGTTGATAGGTCTGTACAGCCACTTGCGTTTACCCCGTATTACGACGCGAGGGGGTCGCAAAAGGGTGGAGCAGTCGGTAAATTCGCCATCGACGTTAAAACGCTGTAAAATTAGCGAGAAAACAGTTATCGCCAACGATCCGGACACTTTTAAATCATCAAAGAACCTGGAGACGCGGTAGACTGATCACCGCTTCGAGTGAAACGAACGATCCACGTTCTGGGACCGTTGCGAGCATAAAACATTCAACTGGTCTCGAGTATTTGTTCCCGGTTTCCAGTAAACGCGGGAACAATGGGAGCGCAAAAGCATGACACGTTTTATATTTCCGTTCGTTCGGCAAGACGGATCGTAATTGCGAAATTCACCACCGAATTGACGTTCATCTTTCTCATGTATCGCGCGCGTCGAACTTCGGATGCTGAATCATGTTACCGTTGACGTGGAATTGGTATTGCGTTTCCCGTTTATTTCGAGCTGATGAATTTTTAACGATGCGCAGGTGGAGAGCGGGAGCAGGAGCAGGAGCCCTTGGGAGGATAAGCGCCATTCACTTTCGAGGGTACGAAACGCAAGAAAGAGCTGTTGACACCGGCTGTTGCCAACAGTTCCCACTCTTCAATGGTATTCCTACATATTAAACATTTCTTAAACTTCCATTGTCTCCGTCTCTTATCCATTCGCGAGCTTGCAATAGCAAAGAATCATCGATCTCGCGTGTACCGACGAACCATTGCTCCAGATTCGCGTGAAACGCGTGAACGCGTGAACTCGCGCAACCCCATAATCAAGCAGACCTCTCCTTTCATTTCTGTAATTCATCAGACAATATTTTTCTTTTTCGAGAAGTGCTTGAATCTGTTTTACGTCGCCCCTCGTGTGTCTCGATAACGATGCCGTAACTCGGTGTCGTTCCTCCCAAAGGAAACTCCTAATGATCTTACTCGTCCTGGGATGGGGAGGGGAGAAGAGAACACGTGCAGGGGCTACCGATATACAATAAGAAGAGAGAGGCGAAAGAATATCGCACCCTCGGGAAACCGCTAAATCAATAGAAACGTCATCGGGTACAAGCAGTTTTACACGAAAACCTCCGCTCCTTCTCCGTTCCTCCCGGACTGGAGGGGGCGGATTGTTTACCAACCGATGACACGCAACGAGGGACGGCCACGAGGCTCGACCGCATCGAGCAGTCGCGATTGTTCTGCCGTTGTAGTAGTCGGTGAAGTGGCGAGGAGTCCTTAGGGAAGACGGGAACGACCGCGTCGCGTGAAACGGGCAACTAGAAGATCGTTTCTCTATTTCACGAACGTGTTCCATTCGTATGCGAGAGCGCAGGCGTACACGTGATCCAACGATGTAACCGAAATTGCAGAGAAACTCGTCTGTCTGTCGTGCCGTCGGACCAGTTCCGATTACGAATTTAGACGAGACGCGCCGAAGCAAGGTATTGCCAATCAACGTTGATTCTGCCCTCCGCGTCTCGTTTACTAAATCGAGGGTGCCGAATCCCCCAGCCGTGATGCCTGCAAGGGCCAAACCGACCGCTCGGAGGTTCTCCTCGATACTTCACCGGATAAATCACGAAAATTTCATTGACCGATCCCGTTCCTCACTGCCGGATTTAAATAGTTTCGAACTCGGGAAACCGCCCTCCCGATCGATTAGTAAATGTTAACGAGGCGCAACGCCGCTTTGACTGAAGTTCGTACGTTACCTTGACATTGTAAACCCACAATGGCGTTTCCGTGCCCGCGGAAAAGCCGAGCTCACCCCCGAAAACGTAGAGGCAGTCCTTGTACGCGACCGCGCTGTGCTCCTGAAGTGCCGGCGGTCTCTCTCCCGCAGGATGCAATTCTTCCCATTTGCTCTCGGCTGTAAAGAAAAACAAAGAATGGGGTAGCGCGTACGTCGGCTCGTTAGTCAAAACGGTTTCGTATGCCAGTCCCTGTTTGCACGGTGGTGAATAAACACGATTTACACAGCCTCGCTTTTGTGCGTTTACGCGAGGGGGAAGATGAGACTTCATAGTTGAAAACAAGACTTGCGAACGAGGAGACAAAGGGCCTCGCATTATTTCTCTCGCGTGGTACGCATAATTTAAGTTCCTTTCTCTAATGCGCGGAGAACGTTTCATTTGACTGAGGAAACTTACGGAATAGGATAATAAATTCGGAAAAAACGTGTTGCGATCTCATAGGTGTCGAGGAAAACCTTTTCCGCCACGCTAAATCACACTTTCACCCGCCCCGGCAATCTGCTACTCTGAAATAAATCCTCCGAGTGGATGGGGCTTCCCAAAGACATAGAGAGAGAGAGGGAGAGAGAGACAACAGGAGATGGGTAATGCAGGAGGGTAGGGCTGGAAGCTTAAATTTAAGCAGTGCCAAGGGCACGGTAAAAAGCGAAACCTTAATGGAAAGACTGGAGGCACGATGATGTTACATCTTGCGTATCGGAAGAGAAACACAATAGCATAGAGTTTCCAGGAAATATGTTTTTTCAAATGATATTCGTAACAAGGGATGCGGACAAGTAACGCGAACGAATTGTCTCTATGTCGGTCGTTGGACTGTACACCGTCCGAGGGTGGAAAGACTTCCTTCCCTCGAATGTAATCGCTTAACAAGTAAGACCTTTTTCACCCTTCGCAAGTTTTAGGAATGAGAGAAAGGGATGTTCCCCTAATTCGACCGGAAACGAATAATTTGCGCTACGCGGACAAAAGAAGAACGGGTGAAGTGCTCGGCGTAAATTAGATCTACGAATTCCCCGAGTGTGTTCTAAACGTTTCGCGGCGTGATTTTGCAATATCCTGAAAAGTTGTCCGCGTTTAACACCTCGAGTGTCCATGTAATAGCTGGCTACTGGAACGTGCTCGAGAACAAAGCCTATGAAATTTACGTAAGAGCCGTAATGTGCTGGCTGAAGTAGTTGCAGCTCTTGTGGACCGGCGCTAAAGATGCCCGACATTGATTACGTGTACGTGTCGTATCTAGTTGGCTAAAAGTGCTGTTCACAAGCTAAAACCGTGACGATGCTTCTGATGAAAAAAGAGATCGCTTCGGCGCTCGAGCGTACATCCACTTGGGAATTATTATTCGCATCCGATACGTAACCCCGCCTGGAACGAGAAAGATGAAAAGGGAAATCTCTAGTCACGACAGAAATTCATTTAGCATAGGTACCGACGCGGGATGCAACGTCGAAGGAACCCCTCGCCTTCGTCACTGGTCGAAAGCGAGGGTGAAACAAAAACGTCCGAACGATGAAGTGCTCTCAGGGTTCGAGATATCACAATATTTTTGCAAGATCAAGTATCGACAATGCTATGCTTTTAAAACATACCGCGGGATCCCTTCGGGTAGTGTTTGTCCCTAGAGACAAGCTGCCGCGACCAACCCTTCTGGTACTGTTTTAATATTCTCTCGTGTTCGCTGCCGAACAATCCCCCCCTGATTAATAGAGATTCTCTCGGCCGAATGGTCAACGAGCATGAAATTTGTAGTGCAGCACATCTACCGTACCTAGCGCGACACATGGTCGGGAAATAATGGGTAATTTGTATCGGCTGAGACAAGTTTGCGCGATATAATTTAAACGTTCGTAATTTTTCGTAAATCCACATTCAACGAGCGCGCGAACGAGAATTATCCCACGATCGAATGAATCCGCGGGGAATCGTTTCGAACGCTGCTGCCAATTATCGGAATTTATATAAGTAGTTGTCTATTCCGAGATTCCGAAGTTTACTATTCCGCGTACGAGCAGAATTTCCGCATGTCGAATCCCCGTGGAAACAGCCGTAATTGTGGTGTATCGTCGGCGGCTTTGGTTGATGTACGTAGGCTTTAATAATGGCGTATTATTGATCAGGCTGAACCCTGTTTAAATTCCGTGACGCACCCCTCATTCGCGGAGCGAGACGATGGGGTGCGTTGGTCAGAGATGCTGTTCGTGTACAGTACTCTGGTTACCCAGACATCGGGCATTAATGCCCCTTACGGTCATAGAAGGATCTTCTCTATACCGGAATTACACTTTCTCTTTCGACTGTCTAATCCCGCCGAATGAAATGAAACGGATGACCGAAGTCCTTCGTATATTCTGCTGTAGGGAGAGGCTAAAGTTCCCGTTGTCATTTGATCACTTACCAAGACTGTATCGCCAAAGATCTTTGAGGGGAAGATTGCCATTTCGTCCTCCGAGTAGATATACGTGCCCGGCGAGCAAAGTGGCGCTATGCTTGCTTCTGGAAGGTGGTGCAGGTCCATTTTCTGTGCCAGCCGCGGTAACCGAGCTCCACATTTTTTCCTGCGGTAGGAGGTCCTGGAATCGATTGATAATTGTAAAGGATTCTTCGCGGAATGGGACAGATGGTAAGTATCGTTGAACGCGCGCCGGTGTCATAACTCACGACAAGAAGGTGAAGCGCCGAAGCGAATGGGAGGGAATTCGATGCGCAATCTAATCTTTCTGTCCCGTTCGTTGCAATAAACTAGAGGCGGAAAGCCAGAAAACGGCATTTCGAAATTATCTTATCTCCGAAGGTCTCCCACGTTGTCTTTAAACATATTAGCGGCCACCCATGTCAGCCTACTTGAAATTCAATTACCAGAGCTTCGAAATCGAGTTTCGGGTAAACGAATGCACCCTCACGCACCCCAAACAGGCGTACGCAAATACGGCTGGCATGGCAATAGGTCCGCCGGTAGATGCGGCGCTACAAATGAGATTCACGTCGGCGGAACGGTGTGCGCGTGGTTTTGTACGGCGGTGGCGAAGAAACGCGTAAAAGGGAAATCAGGGAACGCAGGGAAAAATAATGGACCCACCTTCTCGTCAGGTTGCTAGGGAAAAAGAGAACGCCCCGGTGTAGGTTTCTCTATCGTTCGTTAATTTTAATGAACGGGTTCCGCCGAGATTTAAATATTTCTCATTCGATAATTAATTCAAAGTTATGAAAACGCGACGGGGCTTCCCGCAGAAATGTTTTTAGGTCGTCCACTAACCTAACCCAAAACCTATTAGAGAATACGATACCGTAGCACGGTTCGATGAATCCCTCGCACGCTCGATAAACACATCCCGCGCTAGAAATATCCGAGAACTGAGATTTTTAATCTCTCTCCCGTCCCATCAGCGTTACATTCTCGCCAGCTTGACTCTTAATAGAAATGACAACGGCGTAAGTAATTCTCGTGCCAGGTGCCAGCGCTCCTCGTACATTTGCAAGCCTTTTATTTCCCGTCGTGGAATCAGTAGACGGATGTCGAGCGTAAGAAGAACGTCGCTCATTTCTGTTTCACTAGTTCAGCGATGTATTTTTTCTCACGCGCGTTCGTACTGCCTTTTGTACGCGACTTCTTCTAATGAAACCGTGTTTCGGTGTTACTTTCGTGTTTGAGCTCGCGTTTATCGAAAGTGAAAGTTTATTCGTCTCTGTTGGAACGGTACAGTTACTAACGCGCGTCGAATCGATTGGATTCGCAGATTAAAACGACACCGTGCGATGTGTATTTACATACTTAGACGTCTTTAACGCCGTGATGCATGAACCGACACAGTAGTTCGCCATATGATTCGAACTGTCCGAAGCAAGGCAGACAAGTGCTACTTATATCAGGGCGAGAAGGGATGTCCGGAGAATGGGGAGTCTCGATGAATTTTCCTCGTGTAGGTTTTCCAAACCTCTATCTCTCCCTCAATCTCTCTCTCTCTCTCTCTCTCTCTTCTTTCCTCGAGTATTGTTTTACCGAAGCAATATACCATCGTCTGCCGGGTTTCGAGTACACAGCGGGGAAGCGCTTTCTTCTTCGAGCCTCTGACGAAGCCAGCATGGTTTATCGACCGACGACGGCAATTTCATTTTTTTCCACGTTCGATACCCCGCGAACGCGCGACCGTAAAGATTCGACTGGATTTCCATCGTTCGGCTCCCTTTCCGGTTGTAAAGGCGAAGGGAGAAATCCTAGGAGGGGTTCTCTCTTCCTGTCCCCCTCTCTCAGCTTAACTCGAGTCACGAGGGGATGCGTTGCCGCTACCGGATTCCGAAAAGGGAATGCAGTCAGACAATTTCCTCTACCGCTCGCGACGACACCCGCGCTTCTCTTGATTCCTCTATGATGTTGCTAGATGTTCCTTTCGCCGGCGTTTTACCATTTGTCCGAGGATCTCCCTACCGCGGGGATGCTCGACGCGTTTCCGGCACATTGCCCATCCCGTTTCAGAGTCGATGACTTTCGATTACTTAAACGCCAACGGTTTTCAAAGATCACTTTCGATTTTTCACCTCGAATCGGTGGAATCGCCTTGTCCCGACTGAACTCGGACTCTCTTCTCCTTCCTCGATCGAGGAAACGAGTTCGGAGTCGCTCGTCGAGTCGGCGGTCGTGTAAATTTCTATAGGGCAACGTGAACGGGCCTGATAATATTTTCAAATGTCGGATATTTTTAGCGACGTACCAGCGAGATACCTTTTACGCGGACTTCCGTGCAAAGATCATTAACGCATTCTCACGTCGGGGATCAAGGCCGACTCTCATTACAGTGGATGCGCATGTAAAGAACCACTTTTCACTGTACACCTCGTCGCGCAGTCTTTTACCTTTTCTCCGTGGCTTTTTCCGCGTTCTTCGTGTGCCGAAAGAACGAAAAAACGAAAAAGAACGCCGGGAAAATGATCGCCCGCCGCGTGCAATATTAAACACCGTTACGGAAATGGAAGCTACACGTGTGTCCCGAGGAGTTCCACGCCGGCGTTCGCTCGTTAAACTTCAAGGAAACGTTCGCGTCGCGAATCGTTACGACGACAAATCTATCGTTTCCATTGATTTATCGAAATAGTGTCACTCGTGAGATTTATAGAGCCGCGCGTTTGTCTATATTCTTATCTAGGGCTGAGGTTCGCGCGAAACGTGCGAGCGATGCACACGCGACGTTATCCGAATTACGGTTGGCGGATAATTTCTCCGAACCGGTGGATTTCTTTTCTGACCCGATTTTCTCGCGCGACGAGCCTCCGGTGACAGGTGGAAGATCGTTTCGCGGTTCTCAGCGTTGTTCGTGGCACGCGCGTGCCGAGTTAGCACCGCTAGGTGGAACGAAACCTTAAAAGAAAATCATGGATGAAAAGCGATGCGGAGCGATAATCCTTGTTTGTTAATGTTCGTGGTATCGGTGCCCCTGAGCAGGGTATTAGGCCGAGTTGGGTTTCTATAAATGAAATTAAAGCGGTAACAGCATTTACAGAGGTCCGCGATTGCCATCGATCAATCTTTACGCGGCAACCTCCACGCCGCGGACGCGATCGTGACAGAAATCGGGTGCAGCGGAAAGAGGCGGACGGCTGCGATTTATAATAGAATACACGGCTGTATAAATTTCGCTCGTCGGATAATAAAGAACGTGCAGTGTGCAAGGTTGTTGAAGCGAAGAACATTGATTTTCCGGGAGGTTAAGGACACCGTAAACTGCAGCCACCACGTGACTTTACATAGCCGACGCGACGCGCCTCCTAAATATGTATCTTGAACGTCTTCTTCTCCCATCATTGGCTATCCGGGTCGTTGTTCGTCAAAGAACTTTACTTCGTTCTTCGATCGTGACACGAGCATCGGGTTGATATTTGGTGAACGTGCACGGTTACGCGGCGATGTCGCGGCGAGGTTGTATCGGATTGAAGTGGAACCAATAAATTTTCGGCTGCTTCGACCCACATTGAATTTCGAAGAACCACGCCGAAAAAGCATTGGCGACGGACCGTATTAATTGTGGGGTGATGGGAATATGCAAGGCGGCCGAGGGTAACGCAATTTAACAGGCTTACCTCTCTACTCGGTAAACCCTCTATCCCGTTAGCTGATGGCGAATGCAACTTGTGACCCACATGCAAGCGACGATTAAATCCGACTAAGCTCTCGCCTTTACGGTGATAAGAACTCGGCTGTATCGTCTTCGACAATTAACCTTTCGTCGGCTGGACGTGCATCCTTTGATCGTCGGACCTTAAATTATGTGGCTTAAATGACGTGCCTTGAATGGATACATGGCGACCGCAGATCGCGTGTATGGTCCGTTTAAAATGATCTCTTACAGTTGCCCACGAATTTTCACTGTATACCTGTTGTTGTTGTTGTTGTTGTTGTTGTTGTTCTTACTGCCGTTGTCGTTGTTGTCGTCGCTGTACTAAGGTGCAATACGACAACGAAGCATCACGCACGAGACACGATACGGGAGGAAGGAAAATTTCTCCCTGAACATGTTTCACCGCGACACGTTGACTCGCATTGACACGCGGTTTATCTTCCGAAACCGACAAGTTTGCATATTGTCCGTAACCGAGGTGTGCTTCGTAGCTCGAGGTGTCCTAAACTGTTCGGGACTTGCACACATTTACACCGTAATGTTTCTCTCATGAACGCCCCAAAAGCCTCGTAATTCACGAACACTTGAACAACAGTTAAAGAAAACGCGTAATATTCTGCGCGGTGATTTCACCAGCAGCAGGCTCGCCGATTACTCATCGACAATCAACGGACCGGTTCGGCGGGAGATCTCTCTCGTAGCGTATTGTTGTCATGAATTGGCGAAAAGGAACTGCGAGAGAGACGATGCCACGAGGACAACAGCACTCTGCGTGCACAACGTTTCCTCCGTACTGCGTCCGGGTCGAGCACCTACCTAGTCGAGTCGTCATCGAGGACTCGACGCAGGCGCCCGAAAGAAAACCACCCCCTGTAACCCGCAAACTCGATCGCCTCCATCCCCTTCGGCTCGGTCGGGGGTGAACATCCGCGAGTCAAACGCGCTGTACCATACCCTCGGGTATATGTGCACCGATGGACAGCGGAATGACCGTCGCCGTGGGAACGATTCGACGACGTCGCAGATGCATGCTCCTTTTCCTTACTTTTCGAAAGCATCAATCGTATCTTCCCTATGAACCCAGCAAAACACCGTCGATTCGCAGGACGCTCCACATATGGAAATCAACACCGATCGTATCTCCGTTCAATGCCCTCTGCAAAACAGTCGTGTGAATCGCAGCGATAGCTATTCGGTCGCGATGCGGCAGAAATTTTGAGAGTGGAACGTGCGAGGTATACCTGTGAAGTTACATACGTGGCATTCCTTCGAAAAGAAGGGAAATTCGAGGCGCATGGAACTCTTTATCATCGTACATGCACATCGACATCGGATTGGATGGATCCTGCCTGAAATGTTCCGCACCGGACTGGCACGAAACTGCTTCTGAGTAAATTTCTCTGACGGAATAACACTGGTAAAGTTGCACATGCGCCAGCGTCGGTTCCCATGGAAACGGGATGCGAGCGGCCGCGTGTGAATGCGTATTGATTACTCTACTCTTGCTCCATTCCGCGATCTCTTGGTCCTCGTCGTATCTCCTCCTGTCGCCCCTCCGCGACCCTGGTTCTCTCCTCTTTTTTCGCGGCACCACCTCTCTTTCGGTTCGTCCGCGCAACAAATCTTTCCGTTCCATCGACGAGCTTTTCTGTTCTCCCCCGAGTTAGCCTCGTAACATCGTATCCCCGCGCGCTCCGCGGTCACGCATTCCTAGGAAAGATTCTTCTTTATCAGGCTCCTTGACTCACGGCACACGGTGGATTTCTGCGTTCCAAACGCGCACGATTTAAGCGGGAACTCCAATCGAAGCGTAGGAGTTTCCCGACGTTGACCACTTTTTTGACTTGCCTTCTACCGCTGAGAACGAGATACCACTGTGACGTAAAGCGCGCCGTAATCACGCGTTTCTTTCCTCACTCACTTACAAAGTAGCCTTGGTAGGATACGAGACGAAATTTGCGGTATGACGCAACGAGATCAATTTTAGATACGTTAAATACCCAAGCGGAACAAATTATTCTACGTATTTCGCAACGTCGGAAGCTACGTTCGAAACGTCGGGCGGATGCGGGCAGGCCTTCGGAAAGTTTAAAAGGGAAAACAAAGTTAGCGGTGTAGGCCGAGGTCTTTCTGCAATAGAAATAAGCTTCCACTGCGAGAACTGAGTAATTTCAGCTGTACGACGAGAAAGTGGAGAAGATAGGGAAAAAGGTACGCTCGCGACACGCAGCTTGAACTTCCGGGAACATGTAGCGCGAACTAGAGGTTAATTAAAAGATGCACCTAGAGGAACGTGAACGAGATGCAGCTATCAGTTGTATTCACAACGAACGGGTCATTGATCCTCGAACGGTCGCTTTGCAGACTTCTCGACCGTATTATTCAACAGGACAAATACTCTCGCTTTGAAACTGTCGCGCAGGAAAATCGGCCTGTCGATGTTTTCCCTTCGTCGGACACGAAACCGCTTGTTCTCCTTTCGTAACGTGGGTACGATAGTTATTAGTAAATTTTATATAAAACTCCGGTAACAAACTGACTTTAATTAAACAGTTAGCGTGGCTACAGAAGCGTTGTTGGCTCACTCGTGTCACTTTATTTTCACCGACACACTACTGTGCATCGTTTTGTCACACTTCGTGATTCGCAGGGACGCAACCAAACCATTACAATGTCTCCTCGTAAACGGTGTTTCCTTTGTGCCCAATCTTCGTCGCGTTCGTATGCAACGAGCGTAGAAATTGAGCGATAAATTGATTAGAAAACTCGAAGAGACCCGAGTATAACTGTTACCAGGATGTCGTAGGACAATTTTAGTTGAGAAAGATGGCAACGGGATGACTCGTAGCAGTCCTGAAGGGTAAGTGCGCGACAATTCTCCCACGCGTGACCACTCTATAAAAAAGTGAAACTCCGCAAAGAAAAGAATCACTTTCGCGTGGTCTTCTCGTCGAGAAGCAGCTTCAAAGTTCGCGTCGATTTCGAGTAATCCAGTTAGGAAGAGGAAACTCCTTCGATCTCCGTCCAACCGAATCTCTTATCGTCATGGGGCAACGACTTATTCGCGTTTCTTTGCTGGCAACAGTCATTTGCTACGCGTGCAGCGAGCGGAATAAATATGCCGCTATTTCGAATCTATCGCGGAAGGAACCTGTTGAAAACGAATTGTTCGTAAGCATAATACGCGGTGAAAACTCTTCGAATCTGCAACAGTCGAGCAACGACACCGGACAGTACGACAGGAGCTTGGAGAAACAATCGAGAGCTACGGTTCATCGCGCGGAATCAGAATCGAGAGATAAGTTGCGGAATGAAAATAATCGAAGAAAGAATCCGATGAAATATCTTTCATAGTGAATTGAAATGTGCAAGTTCCAGCTGTTGCGGGCCGAGGCATGGTTCCGGTGCATCGACACGACCTGATACGTACCACAATAAGATTCCTGTGGACAGCAATCGATACTCGTCGCAATACGGTGAACGTTTACCGATCGATAGGTGCTAAGATACTATACATTCTAAGTGCTAGGGAATGAATGCAAACTGTAACGCAACGAAATGATAATCGAATAATCTATAGATACGGCTGGCAAGCTCAAGGGCAACCTCCTGATTCAAGCGGAAACACTCGAAGACCCGGAGGTGGAAACCACGGTGTGCTCTATGAAGGAAACCAAGGAGATAGGTATCCGTTTCCTCTAATACCCTTACACTCTTATTTTCCCGGTAGTCTTCGTCTGTCCCGCATTGATCGTTGAATATGATCTCATACAATCGTCAGATTTAGCTTCCGTCCGAGTTATGGAAACGGAAATTCGCACAGACCTTACAGCTACGAGACTGGGACGTCTGATGGGTACGGGTACGGTAATGGTGGCTATGGAGGACACGGCACTAGCAGGCCAACTAGCTCTAGCGGGTCAAGTGTGAGCAGCAGTTACGGAATTTCGGGAATCCTTGCTAACGGCGACGAATTCGGATCCGTGGAGCCAAATTATCCAGAAGGGAGCGCTCCGTCGGTGCCAAATATTCAAGCGCAGAAGGTAATACCTTCGCAATCCTGGGTAATGCCTGCGACGAGCAAGATTTCATCGAGATTTTTTCGGCAGGCGGTAGCTTTGAAAGCATTGGCTGGTGTTGCTTTGATCGGCGCAGCGGCTGCGTTGGCTACAAATCCTGTTCTCTTACCAATTGGTTTAGTATCGGGGAGAAGGAAACGATCGAATTTGCCGGTGCGAGAAGGAGATGCACGTATGCAGTTTATTTCAAGGATTCTAGACAATAAGCCGCGACGAATCGGTAAACTGTAGTGTCCTCAGTTGCGTTTAGGCGATCTAAGAACGCGGAAAAAACACCTTTACAAGAAATAAAAGTAATTAAACCTTGCGATGAATTAAACTTGCGTTTATAGACAATACAACATTTACGTATTGTGTATATAGTCCTTATATTCTATGTTCTTACTGTTCCGTTACCATCCTTGAAATTTCGTCCCTTTTATTCGCCGAGAATCCAAAGCTGAAATTAATCGAAATCTCAATAATTAAAAATTTATTTGTATTCTTTCAATAATTAAAAATTTATATAGGAGCATAGTCGAAGTTGTTATTAACTATGCGATGATAATAAAGTTAGCTAGAATAAATTAATTAATTAAACAATTATTCTGTACAGATAAGTATACAGGGAAAAAATTGATTATTTATTATGAATTTTATGCAAATTTAATGTTAAAATCAAAATGAAAAATATTGTGCTATATAGTGACTCTGCGTGACTCTATTGAGTTACTATTTACGTGTAGTAGATGGCACACACGTGACTTTAAGACGGAAGAAGGGAACTATGGAACTGACGTGTCCTTAATATGAAACAACGTGGCAGCTCCGAGACGTTTTAAGTTTACCTTTGCGGTTCGTAAATCAGTGGCAGAGAAGTAATTGTTGAATCCGGTAATGTAAATTTATAACAGTGGCTCGATTAACGGTATTTAATCATCGAAATCGTCGAAATACGTTGTACGTTTATTTCAATACGGACGCAAAATATTGAGGTTATACACCAATGATATTCATGTAATTCAGTGACAATAACGATTTAACCCATGAAACGCGTAATATCGGTGATAAACGTAAGCGTGACAAAATCAAGAAGTTGACGCGCGTGTGGGTGGAACAGCTGTTCCATTGACTTCGAGTTTTATAACATAACTACTTTTGTTGTTCTACATGGGTACGAGAAAGAAAATGTCAAGGGATATCATCGTGGACGATGATATCCACGAGTGTAATCACGTGCAGGAACCTTCAGATTTACGGGGTGACGAAAAAAATATTGTTATTCTTTTATTTTTGTACCTCTTACAAGGCATACCATTAGGTTTATGTGGATCTATTTCTATGCTACTCCAGAATAGAGAAGTTTCTTATCGTCAACAGGTAATCATTTTCTCTGTTTTATAAGTCATTGGCACCACAGGAACAGCTGTGGTAACTCATGTGTTCTTTTGTCGTTAGGCTGAATTTAGTTTTGTGTACTGGCCGTTTTCATTGAAACTATTTTGGGCACCAATAGTAGATTCCGTATTTTCTCGTACATTTGGCAGAAGGAAAACATGGTTGATTCCTACTCAGTACTTAATGGGTTTTTTCATGCTACTTTTATCCAGCCATGTAGACCGCTGGTTGGGTAACGAAAGCAAGAAACCTAACATCGAAATGTTAACCATGTTGTTCTTTGTATTAAATGTCCTTGCTGCTACTCAAGATATCATAGTAGATGGTTGGGCTCTTACAATGCTAAAAAGGTACAATTCACCGGGCTAATTAATATGTATATGTTTACATGGATCAACATTCAATGTTCAATGTACGTTTTTTCTTGTATTAAGGTGTAATGTGGGTTATGCATCAACTTGTAATAGCGTGGGACAAACTGCTGGTTATTTTATCGGGTATGTCCTCTTTATGGCATTAGAGTCTGCTGAATTCTGTAATAGTTACCTAAGATCTGTTCCCTATAAGGAAGGAATATTGACCCTATCTGGTAAGCTATTTTGAAGGGAATTACGTTTCAATGATCAATGGTTACAGCTTGTTATATCTTTATATAGGATTCCTTTATTTCTGGGGTTGGATTTTTGTAATTACAACTACTTTACTTGCATTATTTAAATATGAGGAGATGGATAAACTACACAAGAATGATGAATTAAGTACAGACATTAAATTGGCTTACAAATCTCTTTGGAACATTGTTACATTGCCATCAGTAAAGATGATTATTGTACTTTTGTTAACTGCTAAGGTCAGAAAATACATACACTTAATATGTTAAGTATTACAGTTATAGAATAGAAAATAATACAATATTATTGCCAATTGTAGATAGGGTTTTCTGCTTGCGACTCGGTAACGGGTTTGAAATTAGTGGAGGCTGGTATACAGAAAGAAAAAATAGCTCTCATGGCTGTACCAATGATACCTCTCCAAATACTATTGCCATTGGCCATTTCAAAATACACGGCTGGTCCAAAACCAATGGATGTATATATAAAGGCAATGCCTTTTAGGTAAACGAAAAGCATCTTGAATAGTGTTTCATTACCAGGAGAAAGAACACTTAATTCACATTCATAATTAATTGTACAGATTGGCTTTTGGACTGGTAGCAGCATTTTTAGTATGGGTAACACCATATGTAATAGTGGGTGGACAAGTTCCAGCTTACTATTTCGTTTCCTTGATAGCTTTGTACCTTATACACCAGGTATACAGAGTATTTCGTACGCGTAAAGGAAAATAGATTAAGAAGGAGTAATATAAAATTAGCTTTCCCCATCTTAGGTCTTTACCAGTAGCATGTTCGTCGCATCTATGGCGTTCTTCGCGAAAATTAGCGACCCCGCCGTCGGTGGTACTTACATGACGTTATTGAACACCGCATCTAATCTGGGGGCCAATTGGCCAGCAACAGCGGCTCTCTGGTTCGTCGACACGTTAACGTTGCGGCAGTGCAGCACTAATTCTTCGAATGACTGCAGCACGGTTTCGAAGAGAGAGGTTCGTTCATGCTTTATACAATAATCTTTGAATTCTGTTCGATCGCGAACAGAGGTTGTTCAGCGGTTATGTACAACAATTTCAATTTTCAGCTATGCACAAACACGCACAATGGTGTTTGTCATATGCGGCTCGATGGTTATTACATAGAAAGTGTTTTATGTTTAATTATCGGGCTAATTTGGCTCAGGTGGGGTCGAAGGAAAATTGAGATCCTGCAAACAAGACCGATGTCTGCTTGGAAAGTTGTCCTTCCAAAGCAGAACAGATAACAGTATTGAACTGACGTTGGATATTGTTGACACGATACCTGCAATTATAAATATTTGGAAGATGTATAAATTAATTATATCGGTCGCATGCCGGCTTCGCGTCCGAATTATTTCCCGCACATTTACGAAGTGTTCCAATCTCATTAGCGCAACGTGACAAGGCCTTTCTCGGGATTGCGTTCGTTCTTTTCTCCCCTTTTCTTTCTTTATCTTTTAGCTTTTTCTTACTCTCGCAATCGAACTTGCGTTCTGTTTAAAAGGCAACATTAAAATGCAATAGAAGTGGAAGTTACGTACGAGTAACGTTTGCTGAATATTCAACGGTCAATTTCTACAGAATAACGCGATACCCTTTCGCACGTTTGGCACAATGCTAATTGTTAAACAAGTACTGCGTTCATTCCGACATTACTGTATGCGTGTGTGAACTTCTGAAAAAAAGAAAAGAAACACTCGTTCGGGTTGTACAGTTCAAACCGCGGATACCAATATATTCCATTCCCTTTAGATACCGCATCAACGCGTATGGTGCATAATGAAAGCGTGTTATCCTTCTATGAAGGTTAGTAATCTTATTTATGTTGTAATATATGCAATATATTGCACTCGTTTAGATTTTACCATATTTGTTATTGGTATTGAATGGTCCACGAAACCTGCGGTTGTGATTGTTCGCAGTACTTATGAATCAGTATGTAATAAGTACTTATTTACATGACGTTAATAAAAGTTTTCCATTCAAACGCCATCTTATTGCATTTTCTTTGTCGTTCCGTGCGCACGTATTTATATAAAACACTCGAGTCGAAGAGGAGTGGCACAAACAAAAGATCCGTTGGATTATTTTTATATGGCAATCGATAGTTTATTTTCTTCGCTATCTGAAGCTGCAGGGGAAAAACCGGAGAAAAAATTCAACGATATCTACCGCATGCAGGTAAGGACTATGTACAGATACTATTTGAAATATCCATTGAAACTGATTGTGAAAGGAAGCATTTACGAGGCAATGTACATCGCCGTTGAGTTACTTGAATACGCATCGTGTATCCCTTTTATCCGCAACAACCGGCTCGTAAATCTATTTGTTCATCTTGCTTGTAGTTTGTCGCTCTTGTTTTCGGATGTTTCGTACCGTGATGCATGGACTCCTGATTTCTACCTATTATATCGGAGACCTGCGGCGATGTAACTGTCGCGTGACTCGTCTGCCAGTTTTCCTGCTGTTTGTATTCTGCCGTCAGCTTTTTCTCCACCTACGAAACACGGTCCCCTTATCGTTAGAGGATTAAAGGAAGACATCGATGAACGATCGAAAGGTACTCACAGTTTTCGTAGGACGCGCGTTCATGTCGAGTAACGACGACGTTTGGGACTCGCAGCATTCAAAGCTCCGCATGTAAACGACGGTTAAAATCGCCGAGATGAGAATGAACTTCGCGAACATTTTACAAACCGTATACTCGCGTTCCGTTACGAATATCCCGAGATTCTAAAGTTCTCGAGCCTCGAGCCTACCTTTTTATCCGAATCCATACACCGACGTTTACTCGTAAATCTGTCGAATCGCGCGTTATTAATGGCCATTTGTTAATTGTCAAATAGGAATACGAAGTCACGCGACTCGAGTATTGTTGTGTCGCTCGTACGAGTTGGATTTTCGAATTGAGAAAAGATTGACGTGTCCGGCGGGGAATTGCAATCGGGATTGTTGCCGACGAATAAATCTCATTTTCTAATCGTAAACGTTTTCTATTAGAAGATAATATTGGTATAGTACATCGACAATAACTTTGGTACCGCTGCTAATTGTAGATTTACGTATATACACTCGTTAAACACGCGTATCGGATCGTTCCATCTAATTGCACTTCGCTTGCGACAACGGATAAACGGCTCGTATGCAATCGCGCGTGTGTAAGTAAATATACGATCGTTCTCATCTACCGTACAGTAAGCATCCAAAAACTATGCATTACATTTCGCCCGAAAATTTCGGGGCACATATAAATTCTTTACGGTTTGTGCACCTGCGACTGTGCGCAGCGGATTTTGAACGTTACACGAAGGGTGAATCACTTAAAACACTTCCAACTATTCGAAAAACTATATCAGGTTGATCGCTTAAGCGATTCACTCTTACTATATTT